CTATATTAATCTCAGACAATAAACCTAAATTGTACAATCCAGTAAGTAAATGGCGTATTGCACAAGCGGACTGGATGAATTTCAGTCTAAACGTCCCAGATCAAGTCAATTCAATTAAATATGAATATAACATAGACCACCTAGTTGATCAGTTCACCAATTGCATAATTACCTCCGCTCAAAAATAAATAGGAAAATATTCTGTTAAACCTACACGAAAATTAGTTCCTTAATGGAATGACTCCTGTGCTATAGCAGTTCGTGAATGCAAGAAAGCTCTGAATAAATATAGACGAACAAGAACTAATAAAAATCTTATTAAGTTTAAATTAGCGAAAGCTAAATCAAAACGTAAAATAAAGGAAATCGTAAAGGAAAGCAAAAAGACTTCATGGAATCTTTATATCAATTCTATTTCTTCCGATACACCTCCAAGCCAAGTTTGGAATAAAATTAAACATATGAAAGGTCAAAGCACCGCCTACAAAATCCCCGCATTAATTCATGACAACAAAATAGTGACTCAAAGTCGAAAGTATTGCCAAGATTTTTGCGCATCATTTTCAATCCAAAACGCTAAACCAAAATAAGTCTCCTTTACACTCTTTCAACATCGCAAGTGGTAAAACTAACGATATTTCCAACCCAATAAACCTGCCTTTTTCTAAACAAGAATTGACTCTAACCCTATCCACTACAAAAAACTCAGGTGCTGGGCCTGCTGACATCCCCTCAATTTTCCTTAAATATTTCCATGAAGAAACTATAAATAAATTGCTTAAGTTGTAAAACCTAATCTGGTTCCGACAAGAATTTCCTTCCAAATGGAGGGAATCCATTATATTTCCTATCAAGAAAAGTAGCTCCCTTCTCAACTCTCCAAACTCGTTTAGGCCAATCTCCCTAACATGTACTCTTTGCAAATTATTGGAAAAAATGATCAATAAGCGATTAATCTGGTATCTAGAAAAAAACAATATGCTTAACTCTGCTCAATCAGGTTTTAGACCTAATAGAAGCACCACTAATAACTTAGTTATCCTACAAACACATAAAGCAAATGCTATGGTCTCCAAGCAAGACGTAATCGCAGTAATTTTTGATATAGAAAGTGCTTTCGATACAACATGTAAGTCGGTTATCCTTGAAAAACTGATAGAAAATGATCTTACGGGTAACATATTCTGCTTTATGAACAACTTTTTAAATAATAGAAATTTCAGAATCAAGTTTTACCCTCTTTTGCTAGCAACCAATGATATTTACTTTCATATAATACAAAATTCTGTCCAGTCCCTTACTACATGGTCCGAGAAAACTGGCTTCAGGTTCTCTTCCAATAAATCCAAAATAATTAAATTCACCAAGAGATACAACAGCGCAGAAATACCCAAAATAACACTAAACGTATTAAATTTAGACTTAATTGATTATTACAAGTTTTTAGGACTAACTGTCGATAACAAACTTACCTGACGACGTCATGTCGATGAAATAAAAGGCATCTGTTTAAGCAGAATGAATTTCGTCGTGGTACATGCAATAGGTTGAATGTCAATTAGGTGCAATTTTACAGGAAGGACAAAAAACTCATTTTTCGTTTTTTAGTTAGTTAAATATGTTTTGTGACAATGAATTTTGTTTTGAAATTGAGTATGAATTTATAATAGATTATAAAAGTGGTTGTTGACTTTACATTTTTTGAGAAATATTGACATAGGATATATTGCGACTTAAAATCAAACCATTTGGATAACCTAGGTGAAATTAATTTCAGAATAGGGGTACCGGAAATAAAATCGTGTAGTCATTAAAGTTTTTATTTAGTATATAAGAGCGAAGAACAAATTTATTTGTGAGGTAATGTCTCGTCGAATTGGCGATAATTTTGTGGAATTAATTGTTTTAGTTCTTGTCATAGCGATTTGATAATTATTTTGTTTGTATACCGCTTTGAACGTTGAAGTTGCAAAATCTCTTATGGATATTCGTGGAAAGCTTTAGCTATAAAACCTTTTAAATCATAACAATCTTTCCACTTGTCGGCAATAATTTTTGTATTTTATCGCCATCACATCAATTTTTATTACACCACTCGCGTTAAAATAAACAAAATAAATTGAGGTGATGGCGATAAAATACAAAAATTATTGCCGACAAGTGGAAAGATTGTTATGATTTAAAAGGTTTTATAGCTAAAGCTTTCGACGAATATCAATAAGAGATTTTGTAACTTCAACGTTCAAAGCGTACAACAAAATAATTATCAAATGGCTGTGACATCCTCCCACCTGAGGCATTTTACAAAAGTAAACATGGCTCACAATATTAATATTGGAACAAAAGTAAACAAAACTACAGCAAATAACATAAAACCATAGCAGACAAAATTCGAAACATAATTAAGCAATAACTAAATCTACTCGTTAGCGTATCGCACAGGAGTTTTGACGCTGCGCCCACTTCGCGTAACAATTTTTTTCGTTTCGGGTACCCTGCTTTCAGACACTCCCGTTTCCGCGTCGTTTTCGGAGGCACTCACTTCCGCGCCTTCACATAAACTTAAACGAGATCCTCTGTCTTCGGTCTCTCTCTTTCCTACGAATACTACATCGCCTACTTTGACTTTGTGTTTAAAATTCTTTTTCGACCATAATTTTAACTGACCTAGATATTCATTCCGAAATCTTCGTCGAAGATCTTCTAACAATCTTTGCCTGTGCAGAATTTTTCTGGATAGAGACCTACTATCAACTGCATCACAATCGGGGACGCCGTCTTCTATCTGATCTCTAAGGAGCATCTGTGGTGTTAAAGGTACCATCTCCGTGGTATCTCATGTGGGACAGGTAAGTGGTCGAGAATTTATGACGGATTCACAATTACATAAAACAGTCAATAGGCTTTCATAATCCAGTGAAACACGCTAATACTTTACGCAACAGTTGCTTCAACATGCCCACGAGCCTTTCCCAAAAACCACCCCACCACGCAGCTGTCAGGGGGTTAAACCGCCACTGGATCCGCTCATTAATACTATTTTCAGCTATTTTTTGAAAGTCTACTCGAGAAAACGCGTTCTTAGTTCCGACAAAGTTAGTTCCATTATCACTGTATATAGTCTTCGGAGGACCACGTCTGGCAATAAAACGTCGTAGAACCTGCATGAAGCAGGCGACTGACAACGAGGTGCAAAGTTCGACATGTACAGCACGATATACGGCACACGTAAAAAGACATACTCATGCTTTTCCTCCGGTGGCTAGGTAAAGCGGTCCCGCAAAATCTACGCCCGTCGTTTCGAATGCTACCGCGTCCCGGACGCGATCTACTGGTAACGGCGGCACACTTGCCCCGAATGGCTTCGCATTATGTCTTTTGCAGACGACATACTTAATGATGGCTGATCGCCCGTCGACCACCTAAAATCCAATATCGTTCGTGCACAATACTCGTGAGTCCTTCTTGAGTTCCAATATGACACGACTTAACATGTTCCCGGAATAACAACCTATTCACTAAAAAATGTTTTGCCGGTAAAACTATAGGGAACCGAAAATACTCTAGGTCATTTCTATTACTAATAAGCGACTGTAAGCGAATTAGTCCATGCTCATCCATAAAAGCGTTCATTCCCGATAATCTATTGTCTTTTTCGTTCGTAAATGACTCTTGCTGTATCACTTTAAGCACAAATACTTCGGCTTCGTCAACTTCCTCCAAGGTTAACTCCCCCACGCGTTTATCGTCCCTATTCTTTGTATTATGAATAAAACGACGAATCCATGCGAACATTCGCAACGTCTTCAAATATTGGGAGAAGTAATCAAAGTGCCAATCATTCGAGGTCATAATATTTTGCTCCCTATTTATTAGAACTGTAACTAGTTTTCTTTTATTTTCCTTATTTATTTCTTCTTCATCACAGTTAATATCTTCTCGAGGCCAACACGCTGAATCGTGATAAAGCCATTTCGGACCCTCCCACCATTTGGATTCCAACAGTTGCTTAGCGGAGCAACCTCTGGAAGGAAGGTCAGCCGGATTTAATTTACCAGGAACGTGACGCCATTTTTCAGTACTTGAGGATCTGCGAATCTCTGTCACACGATTCCAAACGGATGTAGTCCATTCCTCCGTTCTCTTTATCCAAGATAGTACCGTTGTAGAATCGCTCCAGAACTATTCGTCCAATTCAATATCAAGACTATCCCTAACTGTAGTGTATAATCGAACGGCAATGAGTGCAGCCATCGATTCAAGGCGGGGTATTGATAAAGCCTTTAATGGTGCCACCCTTGATTTGGCTGCTAAAATATGAACAAATGCTTGTCCGTTCCGGACACCTCTTAAAAATATCGCTGCTGAATATGCATCTTTGCGTCACAAAATGTATGCAAAGTAAATTCTTCAGCTTCTCTAGACCCTGCATGTATCCACCGAGGAATTTTAATAGCTGCTAAATACGGCAGCTCTTTGACCCAACTCCGAAATTGCGTTTCTATTGTAGAATCAATCGGCGTATCCCAAGTCAGATGCTCTTTCCAAGTTTTTTGTAATAACAATTTTGGAGTCAGCGTTGCCGGGCAGGTATACCCAATAGGGTTGAACACTTGCTGAGCTTGCGAGAGTATCACTCTTTTGGTTACGGGTTTATCGAAGAGTTGATCTGCATTTCCATTCTCTTTATTCAGAAATAGAGTGTCGCCACTCTTATTCCACTTTATTCCAAACACCTGAGTTGAAGCTGCAAGGTTTTCATCCTGTATTTGGCCAGTATACTCCCACCCTCTGAGGTCAAACTTGCCTTCTGTAAAGGGACTAAACTATAATACCTATCAACGGGTGGAAGGTTGTATTTCTGGGAATCGAAGCGTTTGACTAGCTGATCCAGTACCCGTTGAGACTCTAAAGCCTGCAACATTTAAACCTTGCTCATTTGCGGAAGCGTTTATATTCACGAATATATTCCAATATTCAGCGGTTGGAACTGCATCCTGTCAAAAGGCAGTAGTGTTGGCGTTAAACCGGTTGTTACCTCCAAATACCATGAGAAGGAGGAACTGGGTTGCAGTTCGGACTGCTTCTACGTCTGGTTCGGGGACGGGTGGTTGACCGGGTCCGTGTGCTTGCACGTAGCGACAAATATTCTGGTAACCTCCTGATAAAAAACTCTCCAGAGTTGGGTCATCACCAGCCTGAGTTAAAGGAAGTATTGGCACGTTGTCTGCACCAGATATTTTAAAACTTCCTATATTCGCTAGTATCCACGCTGCTGGGCGAGGGAGTGTGTCACATCTTCCGTCGATAAAACCTTGTTGATCGGAAGTGTATGCACCCACGTACTCTATAGTATTGCCTACAGCATATGGAACTTTAGTCTGAGACTTTTCTATATGTATTCATGTTTTCAGGTGTCAGCTGCATCGCTAGAGGTCGATGTGCTATTGCGGACATGCGTTTCAACATGGCTCCAGTACACTCGTTGGAACCTAATAGGGACACGTGAACGGCGCCTGGCCTCACAGACGTTTGACGTATTTTATTGCCATCACATCAATTTATTTTGTTTATTTTAACGCGAGTGGTATAATAAAAATTGATGAGGTTTTCTCAGTTTATTAAGACTCTCGGCGCTGAACGGTTGTTATACCTATCCGTAGAATAATATTTTAATTTTGTGTATGTATGGATTGATCTTTATAAGTGACAATTTTGTTACATCATTTTTTAAAGCACGCGATATGTTTTGTTGGAAACTGGCAAATATAGATTTTCGATAATTTTGAAGTTTAATTTTTGTAATATACGAACCGTGTATTTTATACGCAAATTCGGGTAGAGTTGCGTTGGTACACACTTGACAGTTCTTGTAAGTGTGCATATTTCGACGCTTCGATTGGAATTGGCCCTATGTACAGTTTGAGATGATTTGGTAGTGACTCCAGGCGCTTTGATCTTACAGGTAAATCAGCCCATTCATCTTGGAAGCACAGTTTGTACGGAATAATGCCATTAGGGGTATACTGAAAACCAACCACATCGTTAATACAGGGATCGCCGGCTTTGTTGCCAGGGCGAATAGTTTTGTAGTATAGTGGTTCAAATGCATAAAAATCATCATTACTGCAATAAACTGTTTTATAGGGATTCGGTCGTTGTCTCGCAGATTGAATTATTGGAATGTAGTCTGCTGGTGTATAGACCTCTCTACGATTGCGCAATTTTTTTCAATACTAGAATGAATAGAGTCTACTTCCATGAAGGTGTGCTCAACTTCCAAGTATTTTTGTTCAACAATTACTTTTGTTTTAATGCTTAATTCAAGAAGTGCATTAGAAAGCTTGGTATTTCGGTTATGGTAACCACACCCATCACTCCAAATTGTAATTTTTTCTGGGTGTCGTTTTTCTACCACTTTTGTTAAAAAGTCTGTGTAAATTGATGCAAATACATCACTTTCGATCCCTGCCACAGCTTCGTGCCAAACGTAACAGACCGCATCTTTAGTACTTAAGTTAAGGAAAGTCTCATTGTGGACTTTTAACTTAGTCTTGTAGTAATTTGCACTTGCATTTAGTCTTGGAGCTAAAAGAATAGCCTGTAAATCTACAGTATAGGTTTCAGTGTTAGCATTATTGCTGGATTGTTCTTTGTCTCTTGTTTTCTCCTCTCTTGCTAATTTCTTCTTTTGCTGATGTTTCTGGAATGTTTCTTCATCGCACGTTCCTTTCGTATACTGTGTGCATGCATTACATTGATCCTTTTTTTGGAGTATAAAGATCTATATTCATGGTTTTTAAAGTAATATAAAAGGTTTTCTAGGACCATCTAGTTTTGTTTTTTGTTTGACAATCCCCTTTATAAAAGCGGTACATCTCTCGCAGACTAGACCACAAGGGCTCGACGTAAAGTTTAGTGGAAGACGCTCGACAATAATGGCTTTGTACTTTAGGCAGTAAATTCAGAAATTATTTTACATTATTGTTAACTCTATTTGGTCTTTCGTTACCCTAATATTACAAGGTTGTATGTAACAATATTGCTAATTTGAGAAAAATCGATTTAAAAAAATGAGCTTTCATAGAAATCAAATTGTTTTATATATTTTAAATTTGAATTTAAATTAAAAATGTACATATGTATTAAAGGTGATTTAAAGAAAAAATTAACAAAAAATTGGTTTTTGTATTAGAAGAAAAGGTATTTGAAAAAAAAAACATAGAACCTTGATATAGCAAGAAAATTTTACTTATTTAAAAAATTACCATAGAACTTTGTTAACTACAAAAAAAAAACAAATTAAATCTTATTTTTGGAGGAAAATATACTCGTAGTATTCCTTATCAACTTCAGGGATATACTTGAACATAGATTTTAGGGCATCTATCTTATTTGGGGGGAGTACAACAGCCTTATCACATTTTTTTAATTGAAGCGGAATGAGTGCTTCTGTTTCGGTTTTAACATGACCTTTTCGTAATTTTCTTTGATGTAAATTTACAGTTTTTAGCTCTTTGGTTGGATCAAAAGTATCTTTATACTTCAGTTCAAAAAAAGATTTAGAAAATTCTAATGCTACTACTTTTGAAAATGGTACAGCGTTGTAGTTCAGTTGGCTGGAAAAAGACTGAAAATCTATAAAATGTTCTTGTTTCATTTGAATTATTGTATATGGATTTTGTCGGTTTACTTTTAAAAGGTAGCGCAGAAGTGATATAGGAGAATAATATTCTACTTTATTCAACGTTCTTTCAATTGCACTGTGGATTGCATCGACCTCTTGAATACAAGCATGTCCTGGAACAGAAAATTTCATGGAAATATTTTGCACATTCTGATGTTTTTGAATTAGGTAACTGAGAGCATAACTCATAAGACTGTTTCGATTCTGTGGAACGCAGCTATCGCTCCACAAAATGATTTTTGTAAACTCTGGATGGTCCTCCAACACTTTTCCTACTATTTTATAAACTGCGCTTGCAATGGCATTTCCCTTTCTTCCATGTAAAGCTTCTGTCCACACGGCACAATACACCTTTTTCCCAACCGAAAGGTGACCGGTCATATTGTACACATTTAATTTGCTCTTATAAAAGAAATTTTTTATGTCTGCTTTTGGACATGTCAAAACATTTTCCAGATCAAAACATAATAAAGGTATTCCGCTTTCTTTATCTCTTTGTTTTTCTTCTCTCATATACTCTTTCTCTTTCAAATGATCAGTATATCTTCGTTGTGATTCTTCGTCTTCCCTCTTCTCCATTTTTCTTAATTTTATTTCTTCGCAGGTATCACATCTATATTTTCTTGGTTTGTGAAAAGCTATATTAAAATAGTTGCAAAATATTTTTCTGTAGACAGCAAAAGACACTGGATTTTTTTTGCATTCTCCAGCAAAATCCAAATAAAGCTCATACAATTTTTTGATACTTAATCCGCTTTCTAAATACTCTTTATTAGTTTTTTTGCGACAGTAATGGGATTCCACTCTTGGAATCATGTGCTCCTTGACCAAGTTACTATCTTCGAGTGATGTTACCCGTTTTTGATGTTTGCCTTGTTTACTTTCGGGTAAGGTTTTGGTGAAAGTTTTATTGTTGTGCACCGTATAAATTGGTTTCTGGCTTATGCATAAAGTCCCAGTGTAAAAAGCCTTGCAAACTTGGATCTTTTGATTATTTATCTCAAAATAAAATCTAAAACTTTTGCTTTTTCTCGAATTTTCTGGATTTTTGCCTTTTCTTCGTCTCCAAGGAGTCTCAGCTTCTGTGGTATGCAAAATATAGTTTTTCTTTTCGATGGCTGAGAGCAAATAATAGTTTTTAAAAATTTCCTTCCTTTGTTCGTCGCTAATTTGACGCGAGCACTTCATTCTGCACTTTTGTACACAATCTTTTTTAGATAAAAATACAATAACAAGGTTGTATGTTACAACATAGAACCATGTAATATTTAGATTTTAATCAAATTTTAAATTCCAAAGTTCTATGTTTACCATAGAACTTTGCTATTCATATAAAGCATAATTTTGTACATACACCCTTGGTTTTTTTAATATTACCAGAGTTTTATGTGAGCAAACTAATTTCCATACAAATTGTGATGTAGTGCTAGTCACATAGAACTTTGTAATATTGAAAACTTAATTTAGTAAAAAATGTTACATAGAACCTTGTAATATTAGGTTAACGCTTTGTCGTTGTGCCTGATTTTCTTGTTCTTCTTCTTCCTGTTCTCCGTTTTCCTGGCTTGTACTGGTTAGGTTAGGTTAGGTTGGATTAGGTTAGGTTAGGTTGTACTGGTTTGATCTGATAACATCCAAGAGCGCACAGTCTTTTCACCAACGCTTAATGTGTTCATAAACATATTTCGGCAAACACGTTTCTTCACATCATCTCCATTTTCTTTTACAGTCCTGTAAAAAGAAAATCCGATGTTTTTTCTTGAAGTAGTAGTAGTAGTTTTTCTTCTGTATTTTGGACGTGCCTGCAATACAGACCCAGTGACGTAAAACTTTTTTAGCCTCCCAAGATGACAGATTCCAAAAGTACGAATGTATTGACTTTCGATCATCTTCACTAATAATATTACATTTGAAATCTTGTCTTGGACCTTCTTTGCCTTTTTTCGGCTGAGGATGCCCCTTACATCTTGACCCTAGGCATCTAGATTCCTTAATTTTAGTTTGCTTATATTTTCCATTTTCTTGTTTTTCAAATCCAACATAAGACTTCCCCTCTAATCTTAACTTGGCATTTTTTAATCTCTTCCACTCATTTCGGTTAACTTGACCTTTATGCTTTCTTGGTTTTTGTTGTTCCTGATCTATAATAATATTTTGGTCGGTGTCCGACATTGATTGCGGCTGTTGTATTGTTGGTATATCAGCGACCGAGTGTATGTTAGTGACATCATCTGCTGTTACATCTGTGTGAGTTTCACTTTCGAAAGGAGCATAAAATTCATCTGATCCGGAACTAAAATCTGTATCTGATTGCTCCTGCATGACTTCATCGAGCTTTTCTACAGGATGGATCTGTGTTCTGCACTCCATTACATCATGACACTCAATGGAGGGTGTAATCGCCCCAATCGAAGCGGTTGGTTCGGATGAAGGTGCAAGCAGTTCTCGGCCTCTTATATTCTGCTGTTCTACGACGGGTTTTGATGCCGTTGATAGTACCTGAGCACCTGTCACTTCAACGACTAATTTTGAAGAGTCCCCTTGACTTGAGCTGGGCTGACTAACAGAGCTGGCTTGATATTCGCTGAGTTCACCAATACTAGAACTAAAAGCCAGCTTCACCAAGGTACGGCTTCTAGCTCCAGCCATATTAGGAAAGGTCCGTTTCTGATATTCCTGCAACAAACAATAAGTTAATAATTTGTCAAATGCAATAGCTCCTATGTCAATATTATATTATCGAACTGATTCTTGCAAAATCTCTTTTGTCAACAAAAATATATAAAAATTTCAATTATTTTATACAGAAAAAGTTAATTAATTATTATTATAAGTGATTATTATAAGAGAAGTCGGGGGTTTCCTGACCCGGGAAACTAGTACCTGTTTAGGGTCCCTTGTCCAGGGTTACGGATGAAGTCCACAACGGCAAACACGGCGGAGAAGCGGAGCTTCGGTACGGTGTGGATGGCGGAAGTGGCAACCCTCGATTTTAGGGTTGATATAGAACTCCTTTTATTGGCCAACAGTTGCGGGCGGACGAGCTAGTAAGAGACAAGGGCACTCTTTTGCCCTGACACTGAGAAATCGATCTTGAAGGCGGACGAGCCGAGAAAACGGCCAACGGCGTAAGAATGCAGAAGGCAACGGGAAACCACTGCATTAAAGACTCTTGGAGTATCCCTAGAAATCGTCATGGCTAATAAAAATGACAATCAACAACCTACTAATCATGGTTCTCGGATGCCAAGATTCGGCAGGGGAAGAAACAGCAGTAACGACAGGGCTTCCCAGGCCGTTAGTCAGCGAAATCCCTGTTCACTAAATATATACAAATCCACTTACAAAATAGCTACATGGAATGTAAGAAGTATGTATGAACCTGGGAAACTAAGAAATATACAGCAAGAGATCGATATATAAGGAATAAGCGATACAAGATGGGTCGGCTCTGGCGAAATCAATACAGACAATGGACGAATTTATTACTCTGGAAGCAGCGACACCCAACACAGATATGGAGTTGCTATGATCCTCACTGAAAAACTAACGAGATCAGTAACAGGCTTCGTTCCGATATCTGAAAGAATTATAATGGTGCAATTATTGACAACCCATGGAAAAATGAATTTAATTCAGATTTATGCACCAACTGCTGACAAAAATGAAGAAGAAATAGAAAACTTTTATAGCGAACTTCAAAAAACATTACATCTCACAGCATCTAGAGACGTAACAGTGATCATGGGTGATTTCAACGCAAAAATTGGCGAGGGAAAATGCTACCCTAATGTAGGACCCTAACCCTAACCCTACCCTAACCTAACCTAATGTAGGACCATATGGGCTTGGTGAACGAAACGACAGAGGGGATCGCCTAATAGAATTTTGCCAGGAGCACAATGTTATAGCCGCAAATACATTCTTTAAATTACCTAAGCGACGCCTTTATACATGGAAATCGCCAGCTGACAAAGACAACAAAATCGTCAGAAATCAAATTGATAAATTACACCTAATACCTAATAATTACCTAATAAAACACAGATATCGAAACTCAATTCAGGCAGTAAAGGCATATCCAGGAGCGGACGTATCTTCTGATCATAGTCTTCTTATTGCTAGATTTCAACTTCAACTAAAAAAGACACAAAAAAGCCGCAATAACAATAAACTTAACATACAGAAACTAAAGTCAGAAGAAACAAAAGAAAATCTGAAACACGAAATCAACACAAATCTAGACAGAAACCCAGGAAATAACTGCAACGTAGAGCAGCAGTGGCAATTCTTCAAAACCTCTATATTGGAGCCAAGTAAGAAACTACTTACAACAACTAAATATAAGAAAGAAGAATGGATGACAGAGGAAATTCTAGAGTTGATGAATGAAAGGAGAAAAAACAAAACCATCAATAAGACGCGCTATAAACAGCTTCAAAACCAAATAAGACGAAAAATTAGGGAGGCTAAAGAGACCTATTTCTCTGAAAAATGTAAAGAAATAGAAGAACTTCAAAACAGATATGACAACTTCAACCTACATAAAAAAGTCAAAGAACAAGCCGGAGTAGGAAATAGAAGAACCTCAAATATATTGCTCGACAAAAATGGAAATATTATATTGGAAACAGAACAAAAACTACGACGATGGAAAGAGTACATCGAAGAATTATTTCATGACCAGAGAGAAGCTAGTACATCTGTAGATAGCCAAACGGGAGATGTAGGTCCAGAGATAACCAAATCAGAGGTTAGTCAGGCATTAAACTCAATGAAAACCAATAAATCTGCTGGTCCAGATGAATTACCAAGCGAGCTACTAAAGTTGGTCAACGAGAAAAACCTGGACATAATAGTAGAACTGTTCAACGCTATCTATACTACGGGAATCATTCCTAGAGAAATGTTGACATCAGCATTTGTGTGTTTGCCAAAGAAAGTGAATGCCAAAGAGTGTAGTGACTATCGAACCATAAGCTTAATGTCACATACCTTGAAAATTCTCTTGAAAATTATCCACGCCAGAATACACTCTAAACTGGAGCTGGATATTAGTGACACTCAATATGGGTTCCGCAATGGTATGGGTACCAGAGAGGCATTATTCTCCTTCAATGTGCTGACACAGAGATGTTTGGATGTTAACCGTCCTCTTTACGTCTGTTTTATAGACTACAATAAAGCGTTTGATAAAGTAAAACATGATCGACTCCTGGAAATTCTAAAAAATAAAAACCTAGATGAAAGAGATTTAAGGCTAATAACACACCTCTATTACAATCAGCGAGCCATAGTAAGAATCGAAAAAGAAACATCTGAAGAAATGGAAATAAAGAGAGGAGTCAGGCAAGGCTGCATTCTATCACATCTATTATTTAACGCCTATTCTGAAGAGGTAATTCGAGAAACTCTGGAAGATGAAACAGTCGGCATAAGAGTAAATGGAGTCTTAATTAACAACATCAGATATGCAGATGATACAGTAATAATAGCCGATAGTTTACAAGACCTGGAAAGACTCATGAGCAAAATAGTCATGTGTAGTAGGGAGTACGGACTCTCTCTTAATGTCAAAAAGACGAAGTTTATGAAAATTTGTAAAAACAACTATAATACTAACGAAATCTTGATAGTAGAGGGCCAGCAGATCGAAAGAGTAAAAAAGTACACTTACCTAGGAACACTTATAACAGAAAATAATGACTACACGGCAGAAATCAAAGTCAGAATCGAAAAAGCACGTTCTAATTTTATAAAAATGAAAAAGGGACTATGTGGCAAAGATCTAACATTAGCTCTTAAAGTACGCCTAACAAAATGTTACGTATACAGTGTACTATATTATGGAGTGGAATCATGGACGTTAAATTAGATACCATGAGACGACTTAACGCCTTTGAAATGTGGACCTATAGAAGAATTATGAGGGTTTCCTGGGTAGATAGAGTTACAAACAATGAAATACTGAGAAGAATAGGCAAAGAGAAGGAAATTGAACTTACAATTAAAGAAAGAAAGCTACAGTATCTCGGACATGTGATGCGGGGCGATAAGTATGGCATCCTGCGACTCATAATGCAAGGAAAAATAGATGGCAGAAGAAGCATCGGAAGAAGACGAATTTCATGGCTGAAGAACCTGAGAGAATGGTTTGGATACAGCTCAAAACAACTATTTAGAGCTACTGCCTCAAAAATTAAGATAGCTATGATGATTGCCAGCCTCCGTAGAGGAGATGGCACCTGAAGAAGAAGATAAGTGATTTAAACTTTTATCTTATTGTAAAACATTATAAAGCTATGATCATTAAAATTTGAACTTAAAAACATGGAAAAAGTGAGGTTAGTATTTTGTTTGAAGTAAATTTAACGGTTATCATTACAAATAAAAAGTATTATTATTATTTGTGAGTTTAAATTATATTAAATAAAAGAGTTAAATACTTACACAACTAGGTACACGTCCCAATAATGATCTGACATTGGTCTTATTGCAACTAACTCAAACGCTCGCTTCTGATTGGTTAATAGACATAGCAGTTTTTGCAAACGTTGGAGAAGCGTGTTTTGGATACTTACATGTCAAAAAAGAAAAAATACATTTTATTGACATTTGCCATTTTGCATGTACCATGACGATTTGTTAAAGGCATTGTCCCACCATCAATGGGGTGCCGATGAAAGTCATCATCATCATTGGCTTTTACAACTCTTCGTGAGTTTTTGCCGCGTTTAGTATTGCCTTCCATTGGTTCCGATCCTGTGCTATTATTTCCCATGGTCTCACTTCCATCTTCTCCAGGTCTTCCCTGACTGCGTCTTTCCACCTTTTTCTAGGCCTTCCTGTCGATCTTCTACCATCTGGTCTTTCCCAAAACACATTGCTAATCAGTCTGTCGTCATCACTCCGTACCACGTGGCCTGCCCATCTTAATCTATTGGCTTTTATGTATCTTACGATGTTTCCTTTCCCGAAGAGGGTCTCTACTTCATTGTTGTATCTTCTCCTCCATTCATTTGTCACGCTGTCCCTGCACGGACCATATATAATTCGCAGGATTTTGCGTTCCCATACTAATAGCTTGTTGATTTCTTTCTTTCTCAATGTCCATGTTTTACTTCCATATGTCACTGCTGGTCGTATTATGGTTTTGTACATTTGGATTTTGGCACGCCTTGAGAGAAGCTTTGACCTCATTAGATGTTGGATGGCAAAGAAAGATTTATTCCCGCCCGTATTCGTATTTCAACCGTTCTCCTGTGTTTTCACTAGTAATTGTTGTTTGTAGGTATTTAAATTCTTTGACCACCTCAAAATTATGGTCGTTTATGGTAATGTTTTGTCTTATTCGCTGTCGTTCCTTTTTTGATACGACCATGTATTTAGTTTTTTCTTCGTTTATTTTCAGGCCTACGCTTAGTGTTGTTTCTTCAAAGTTCGAAACTATATCCTTAACTTCCAGTGTTGTCTGTGCTACTGCATCTACATCATCTGCAAATGCGAGAATAATCTTTGCTGCTCTGGCAGTTATGTCTGGTTTGACTCTGGTATAGATTTATTATTTGCATCCAATAATTTATTACAATCTTTAAACTCTGTTCATAACACTGCTCTCCGAATTTGCTTAGGAGCTTTTAGATCCAGTCCCGCTGAAAGTCTCTATTGTGAATCTC